AATGGTCTTGCTCCTGCCTCAATGTCATGTGACATACTTTGTTCACTCCCTATGGGAGGGAGGCCTTGCTCTCTCTGAGGCATGAATTGGGCTGTGGGTTGGGGGAAGGTTCATGGAGCAGGAGGATGGGAGGGGGAGAAACTGGGATTGGTATGTAAAATAAAAATAGATTGTTTTGAAAAATAAGAACAAAAGTAATTAGAAAAAAGTGTCGAGTGAAATAAGTACATCAGTTAGAGTGTAACTATGTTATCTAGTGAGGAGAAGGTATTTGGTATTATCTATTAAAGTTCAAAATATACACACTCCATGGTGCAGCAATAACCAGTCTGACTCATGTGTATAAAATGTTCACTGACAGACATAAATAAAAGTATCCATATGACTTTACTCATAGTTGCTCCTACACTCTAAATTTCTATCAACACTAAAATGTTTAACATACAAAAGTCCATTTGTATGTTATATAATAATGAAAATGAATAAATAAAGCTGTATCAAAAACATTAATGAGTTTTATAAAAAGAATACTGAAAAAGGGCATCCTGAAGGATGTCTTTTATATAAAATCAACAACAGGAAACTAACTCCATTTAAGAAGGAGGATATCAAGCCTTCCTAGAGAAATGAGAGCAGTGATCTGGGAAAAGCAGACAGGATTCTAGGGTCAGCTCAGTTGGTTGTTAAATGGGTGTTTCTGAATCATAGTTCAGTGAGTTGTGCAAGTGTTAACCTATGTTTTAGCACCTGTGAATACTGCTATTATACTAAGGAAAATAAAAAATTAAATATATTCTTATCTATCACCAAGTTGGGAGTTAAAATAGGAGCAAAAAGCTATTATTACCTTTCAAAAAATAGCTCTTTGAATTCAAGTTTGTCTATACCTGTTCCATTTCTCCTGAAATGTGCATTCAACTGGCCATCTAAACCTAGAAAAGTCATGTAATTCCAAGACTATGCTAATACACACAGTATCTTTGTGTACCACATTTGTAATAACTGGCAATTTTATATTCTCAAATTTATTTCTACTGCTTAGAGATTAATGAGCAGTAACTGACATAATCATCTTTAATCTTCTTGTGACATTGAGAGGCTGAAGGGAAAAATCAATTTTTCTGAATTTCAATCAATGTAATTCATATTTTTAGTGACTGTAAGTTCACTCTTGAAACTGGTCATTCTAAAATACTCATTGATATTCCCACCTAAAAACAAAATTTAAATTATACAAAGTGAGTAAAGGATGACTCAAAAATTAAGAAGATGCAAAACTGAACAGTTTCCATTTGTTACAGTAGAGAGTAGTAGTAAATATTTACCATCGAATTTTTATGAAAACTGCTGTAATTATTGATAACAGCATAAAAAGTAAGGGGATAGAGATTGGGGAAGTTGTCTGCTTTTTGAGCAAGCATGACAACTTGAGTTTGGATCCCTAGAAGCCACATATAAGCCAGGCCTGTCAGTACATGTCTACACCCCAGAACTATAGGAAAGTGGAGAGATGAGGACTCCCGGTGCTTTCTGGCCAGCCAGTCTGCTGACTAGTGAACTCCAAGTTCACAAAGAAGCCTTATCTTGGGAAAAATAAAGGTGACAGCAACTGAGGAAAATATCTGATGTCAGAGCTTCTGACCTCCCCCCCCCATGGATACAGATACATATGTATGTGTACCCATATGGACACACACACACACACACACACACACACACACACACGTATATGCACATGAACACATATATACTTGTATCTGAAATTGTTTAAAAATTAAAGTTATCTAACTGTATTTGTTATTGGAAAATATTTTATGTAATCAAACATCCTCATTGCCACCACTACACAATCACTTTTGAACTCACCAAGAAATCACATTCCAGCTACTGGTTCTGGTGAACTGAAAGCAGTCATCACTTGTCTGTGACATAAGAGTACTTACTCTTAGCTATTCAGAAGGTCTTTCCTTTTCAAACAGTCAGATTCTTAAAACCCTGAGTCACATAACAAGTAGCATTATGTCTGATGGTATCGAGCATGTGCCAGGTGAGAGAATTCTCAGGAGTACCAAACTCCATGGTGGATCATCAAAGTCTGTCATATCATTTGGGGGAGGGCCTAGGCCCTCCTTTGAAGATGCCCAATGAAGGCCTCACTAGGTCACAGGTGGGTTGGAGGGGGTTAGCAGAGGGCATGCAAGGATTGGAGGGAAAGGGAAGGGGGAGATTCATATGTAACATGATTGTTTCTAAATAAAAAAAGAAATATAATCATAACCATTTTAAAGGTATGTTTATAATAAACTGAATAGAATATAAGCTCAAAAAAAGAGTACCAAACTCCAAATACTTCTCCAAAGACATTGTTATATTGATGGCTGACCTAGAAATTGTAACTCAAAATTATTCCCTGTTTTAAAGACTCAAACACCACTTTACAACATATGGTGTGAAACACCCAGATTCCCAGCAGATAAACCTCATGCTCCATGGAGCACTTCCCATTTGTTCTTCAAGTCTTTGGAAAGTAAATTCTGAACAATTTTGAGGCACTTGCAGTAATATCTTATAATATTTTCTTTGGACTCCTTCAGAATATTTCTTTGAAGCTTTCTCTCAATATAGAAATATTTATCATATATCTTCACTATACAAAAACTCAAATCTCCATCTGAGTGTGGCAGTGTTTAGAAGATGGTCTCAGTCTCAACATGTGACTGAGTATTTGATTTTACCCAATGTAGAATAGTTTTCAAGCAAACCCTACTAAAGAAACTTGGAAAAAGTGATGTGCAAGAAGTTACGTTATTCAGAGACAGTGAATCAATGTGTCCCTAATGAGGCAGATCTTAGGTCTAAGCCTCAGTAAAGATACTCAAACAGTTTGGGAGGAAAGAAGGAGGTGATATTTAAAAAAAAAAACAGTGGCTTATACATTGGGGAAATAATTTATTAAAACAAGAATGATGCTTACCAAAAGAAGGTGACTCTCGTCCATCCTCTAGTCCCGAATCTCTCTCTCTGTCTCTCTTTCTGTGTTTATGACCACGATGCCTGTGACGACGATGGCTTTTTCTTCCACCCAGGGGTACATGAACTCCAATAAATAATGTTCGGTGACCTTCATTAAAAAATAAGTGCACAAGTTAAAACTCTCACTATTCTAGAACACAGAAGATGATGATTTACATTTTAATGAAATCTCAGTTCAATTTAATTCAGAACAGTAAATTAATTGTTGAGTGTTTATGGTGCATAAACCTTAGTGCATATTATTACATTTTTGTATAGTTTTCTTTTTAAAGATACTTAGTGAAGAATACCACAGATGTAAAACCAAACATTAACAATATTTGGCATTTTGCTCTAATTTTGCAACTATCCTTATTATTATCTTAATGATTTCTCTGGTATCATTCACTATACTATAATTACAGTCTTCATTAGAAAAGGTTATCTGGCTGGATGGTGGAGACACATTCCTTTAATCCCAGCACTTGGGGGGCAGAGGCAGGAAGATCTCAGTGAGTTCAAGACCAGCCTGGTCTGCAAAGTGAGTTCCAGAACAGCCAAGACTGTTACACAGAAAAATCCTTTCTTGGAAAACAATAAACAAATAAAAATATTTGCTTTCTCCCTATACTTGTTTTAGTTTATCAATGTCCTATTAATATTTACAATAAAATTACAATAATGTCTCAACTAATGACAAGGTTGTTTTGTTTTTTTTTTTCCCAGTCATCCTCTTTGTTGTGTTTTGTTTCATTCATTCTGTTTCCTTTGTTGATTCCTCGTGTATTTACTCATTAAAAGCTGGGGATGTAATTGTCTATCCGTGTGTGTGTGTGTGTGTGTGTGTGTGTGTGTGTGTGTGTGTGTGTGTGTGTGTGTGTTATAGGCTCTAAGACATATAATGTGATGCTAGACTTCTCTCTTGAACTCACAATCTACATATTGTCCTATATATCAGACATATTCACCTAAACAACCTTCTCAGAGGCATGCCATCTTCAACAAGTCTATGAAACTCATATTGTTTTGTTCCAAGTAGGAACTGTTACCAATTAAAATGAATATGCCATCTATCCATTCTTCCAATGCTCTCCTCAGTATCCCAACTGGTACTGTCTTATTCTGGACTCTCATTATCTTTCATCAAGATTATTAGAATATCTATTGCTCCTTTGTGCATTACATGTAGGTCTATCACCAACATTGAGGTAATTTTAATGGAAAGTTTAAGGTCTTATTCTAGATTACATTCTAAATAACATGGGTCTATCATCCAATCTGAATATCTTACACATCTGGAATTTACTTTAAATATCAAATTAGTTCATTAGATTTTACCTAACTGCTTTAATCCTTGTGTACAAAGAAAAAGTTGCACATAAATAGCTATAGTAACTTTATTCCCAGCTATACATGTCACTTAATAGGAATGAGTACATTTATTTTCTAAGAAAATATAAGCAATTAAAGGAAATTTTTACAAGTAAGTAAAGCACAACTTCAAAAAAGTTTATTATTTTATTAAGTTTATATTATTAAGTTATTCCCTTAAGAAAATACTTATAGCTCTAAAATCGTTCTCAAGTGCAAAATACTACATAGTCCATAATACCAATATCTGGAGCTATTTGTCTCCTCCCAAACTTCATATATTAAATATTCAACCCAGTTGTGACTATTTTGTAAGCTGAGCCTTCGTAGAGGCAATTAAAGTAAAACAATTATAAAATAACTTAGATTCTCTGGGCAGTGGTGGCCCACACCTTTAATCCCAGCACTGGGGAGGCAGAGGCAGGCAGATCTCTGGAGAGTAGCCTGGTCTATGAGAGCTAATTCCATTACAGCCTCCAAAGCCACAGAGAAACCCTGTCTCCAAAAACAAAACAAAATAAATAAATAAATAAAACTTAGATCCAACGAGTATTCTGAAAAGAAGAGACAGTAAGGCCATCAATCACTTTCTAAGTAGAGACACATAAGTGATGTGAGAATGTAGTGAAAGACTGCTGCCTATAAGCCAAAGCAAGAACCAACCTACCACTGCCAGATTCCCTACATCTAGGAATGTAAAAAAATTAAGTTCTATTGTGTAAGCCATTCTGTGGCATCTTGTAATTGCACTCCAGGCTAAATAACACACAGAGAGAACCCTAACTAAAATTCTTATGGTAATATTAAATTTCAGGAGACATTTCATTAAATTATTAGATTTATTCGATATTCAATGCATATTACTTAGGCTGATAGTGTTTCTTTTAAAGGAATAAATCATCTATATAGTTTTATGATAGTATTAAAATTGTGTATGTTTAATTTAAAAAGCATAAATACTTATTTTGAGGCAGAATCAAAATACCCCCAAGTTCTAGAAAGATTAGAAGCAAGACTGACATTCTTCTAACCTGAAAGAAAATCTGATATTATGTTTATACATTAGTAAGGGCGATTAATAACATAAACGTGACATAATTATAGATCAATCCTCTGAAAAACATCAAGTTAAAAATAGTCTCTATATTTGTTTTTTCTGTATATTGCTCAATGGATCCACACAGGCAAGTGAAAACTGTAATTGTTTTAACTAATTCTCTTCAGAATGCTAAAATGCACTGCTTTTACTGGTAATGAGGCCTTTAAGCAAGAAATAAAGAACATGAATTCATATCTGTCTGTATCTCATCTTGTTTATCACTGCATTCATGGTGACATTGCTTTGGGATGAGGTAAATTTAAAGTAGCAATTGAAAGTAGTAATTGAAAGTAGTAATTGAAAGTCAGTTTTCTGAGCTTGAGTCAAATGCTTACATTCAAATCTTGTCTCTGCCTTATGTTTATATAAGCTTGTTTAGTAAACATAGAGCAAGCACAGTTAACATGGCCTTTACTGTAAAAGTTGCTTCTGATCCCAAAATCTAATGTTGTTTTTTAATTAAATAAAGAACATAAATATTTAAAATTTACTGAAATTCAGATTTTCTACAAGGGCATATCACACCTTAACCTTTTGGCCAAGATAACATATATGTAGTATCTACACATATACAGACAATAGAATGGATAAGACAAAATGTTGAACATAGTATCTATTACACAGAAGACAATGATACTTGTTATTTTGCTTTTCTGTTCACACTGTCAACCATCAGGGGTCTAATGGAGTAAGAAGGGACAAGAAATTTTCTAAGTCCCAGGTCATTGTCTTCCTGCTTATTTCTATATTTACCAACTTTTCTACATTAACCCTGGCTTATGAAACAAAGGGATCATCTGTGTTTCCCATGATACTATATCCAACACTGCATTTTCTCATCTGATATATCACTTAAGAAAAGGAATTCAAGAAGCTTATGATGGCCTTATTCTACGATAAACTGGAAATTATGGATCCTGATCTGAATACTTTTCAAGATTACATAGATAGTAACTTTTATTTTTATAAGTAAAAGCCAACTTTTTGCTGAAAAGAAAACTTTAAAACAGACATAAATCAATTAAAATTTCCACAAGATTTTTTCTTTTTTATGGAAAATAGTCTTTTTTCCTCGCATAATATATCCTGATTATAATTTCCCCTCCCTCTACTCAACTCAGTTCTTCCTCACATCCCTTCTCAACTTGACCAACTTTCTCTGTCTCTCATTAGAAAACAAACAGACTTCAATGAGAAAATAATAAAATAAATTTTTAAAAGCCTAACACATTGGAATTGGACAAAACAAATGAACAGAAGGAAAAGCGTCCAAGAAAAGGCACAAGAAACAGAGACCCGTCGCTCATTTGCACACTCAGAAATCCCATAAAAACACTAAACTGCAAAGAGTAATATATAAGCAAAGGACTTGTAGTGCAAAAGAGAGAAGAAAAATATATACATAAAATTAAAGTGATAAGATAAATTAATAAGACAAAGGGAAAATTTCTGACATGAGACAAGGAACCTCCAAAGATGCAGCTGAGTTTTCTGTTGGCCATCTACTGTTGGATATGCAGTCCACCCTTAAGAGTAGTTTGTTTCCCCAGTGAAACTCTCCTGGAGGAAATTAAATTTTTATTTGCAAGTGGTTATCAACTGGAGATAACTTCTGGGTTAGAGACTCGTACATGTGTCCATTTCTTCTTTCAGCTCTAGGGACCCATCTGAAGCAGACCCATGCAAGATCTTAAGTGTAGGATCATTTAGATGTGACTATCTTGAAAAGATAAGCAGAAACAGTATCAACTGAGGAAAAATGTTTGAGACAAGTACAGAACATTAAAACCAAACATAATCCCAGCACAGAGAAGGAGAATTGAAACCAAAGTCTCAACCCTAAACAGAATGCTCTTTGCAATTGATACGTGCTAAGAAAGAGAAAACCAATTTTCTCCAATGGACTATCAGTAGGTAGGTATACCATCTACACTCCAGGCAGGCTAAAAGTCCAAAAGTAGTTGAACAACACAAAACAATCTCTCTCTCTCTCTCTCTCTCTCTCTCTCTCTCTCTCTCTCTGTGTGTGTGTGTGTGTGTGTGTGTGTGTGTGTGTGTGTGTGTGTGTGTTTTGGTTTTTGTTTTGGGTATTTTTAACCTTCATTTTTTGTTTTATAATTGTTTAGAGAGAGAGAAAGAGAGAAAGGATGAAACTGGGTAGGTAGGGAGGATTTGGGAGAATCTGGGGGAGTGGAAAGTACATGATCAAGATAAAAAATTATGTCTTATAACAATATTATTGGCATAGCCAAAATCAGTCATTCCTGGAATTCAAGTTGAAAGTTAAAAATGTGATTATTCTACTCAATTTCTTGCCAAATTGTGCCTGAGTGCTTTCTTTAAACAGTCTCTGAAAACTTAATCCAAAGTCTTCTCTTGTTGAGTCTTTGCTAGATGAGAAGTTCAAGATCACAGGAATTTCCATAGAACTCAAATCAATTCTGAGAATAATAAATGCAAATAGAAAACAGCTGTGGACTGGAAAAAATGTCTCCCCAAAGGGCATAGCTTTTTTTTTTTTAACGCATATGTCAGTAAAGGGAAAAAATACTTTTTTCCATAGAGCAAAACAATGACTCAATAAAAATAATATTACTTCTGTGAGCAAACCATGTTAAACCTTGGTTTGACACTTAAAC